GGGGGGCGGGGGGAGAGCCGAGCACCCGCCGGGGCTCGCGGCCCTGCCCCCGGCGCTCTGGCCGCCGGGGGGGAGACCGGAGCCGCCGCCGGGGCTCGCCGCCCTCCCCCAGGGGCTCCGGCCGCCCCCCCCGGCAAAAAAGCCAGAGCCGGCCCTGTCCATTAGGTTTAAATAGAAAGTAGTAATCTGACAAGGTGAAGTAAAAAAGAAATTTTCTTAAATATTTGAGAAAAATATACTGTCTGTGCTGAAGGAACTGAATTTGGAAGCCTGGTGCCCATTTATCTTTGCTACTGTCACTCCTACAGCACAAACACCTTGTTTGGATTCATAACCTAATTTCTTTCCTTGAGAGATACCTTAATCCCCACCAAATACTGGATCTTTTAAGACCTACAAGGTTTTGAGAATAAGCCTTCAAATCTTATGGGAAGCAAACATACTGGGTGTAATAAAGAGTCAGTCTGTAAACGGGTTAATCATAGACTACTGTTCTCCCACTCCTCAGGATGATGCCCATGATGCCTTTATGGGATTACACTGTTATGTACTAGTTTTGACAGCGGAAGACATCCTCCTTCCTTGAATAATATTGACTACTCTCCCACAAAGCTCATAATTTTCTATATTTATTAGTGTATATATCTGCCTGGGACAAATTTCCATCCAGTAAAGAATTCCTGAAAGATCTTGACTTGACACTTCATAGAGCTTTTGATTCTTTAAAAGTGTGGGGTTTTTATCAGTTTGGGTTGGCACTGATTTAAATAGTTGATATATTATAAAATGTCTTCTCCTTTGTATAGTATGTGGCTTTATCACATGAATGTTTTGGGGACTTAGGCAGACAGGCAGACTTTCTACTTGAACTAAATAACTTTCCTGTTGGAATAAAAAGCCTGATGTAACTTCAAAGGGTGTGTGTGTGTGTAAACAATCAGACACACTTGAAAGCTTGTCTCTTTCACCAATAGATATTGGTCCAATAAAAGATATTCCTTCACCTACCTTGTCTTCCTGCACAATTAGAGTAATCAGAAAAGTTTGGCAGGGAACCTTCAATGTCTCCTGGCCTGATAATGGTAGAAGATTGATAACCTAGAGGAATGATGCTTTAGACAATAAGTATTCAATAATAATGAATAATTATGATTGTGTGATTGGACAGGAGGGTTCTGGAAACATTTTGGCCTGCTATCCTTAGAGATAACTGCACTGAGCTCTTGATTGAACCGCTCTCTTTTATGTCCTCAATTTCTTTGTCAACTTATTTGCTTAATAGGTCTCTCACTCTTATAAAGAGATTTCTTCAGAAAGGCAGATATTTTCTTAAGGAATAAAGCCAGACATCTCATCTGGCTATCTCAAGAGATCAGACTGTGACCTGGAAATCTAATTGTATTTGTACAGTACTTGCTAGTGATCAGAGGCAGGTACCTAGTTATAAACACTGACTTGTCTAATCAAGAGAATACTATGCTACCCATCTATGCTGAGTGATCAAGCAGGGGAAATGGAAAGAGAGGGCTTGAGAAGAGCTGATGGAGGAATGATAGGTTCCTACCCTACGAGGCTTGTAGAGAACTAAGACAAAAGCAGAGACACTGGGTGAGATGAGAGAGGATATAAAAAACAATGGAGACTCAAGAGGAAGATTCTAAAGGCAGCCACAGGAAGCAGTACAATGGGAAATGGGGATAATACCATGTGCAGATTATCTGCATGCAGCACATACATTTAATTTCTAAAATGCAACTGATTTTAAGGGACATTTTTGAAGCATGAACAGAAAGTATTTCAGCTTTAAGATGCTTCAAGCTATACAGGCAGTCAAGAGAGAATAGTTGAGACACAAAGGGAACTGAAAGAGGATTGAAGTAGTTATGGCAGCTATTTTACTACAGGCGATTATGTTATCAAAGGAAATGTCCTATATAAGGTATATCACTGTTCAAAAACTAAACAAACAAATATAAATTAAGAAAAAAAGTGGTTTCTTTAGGGGCCTAACAAAAGCAAGGAAATCCCTAGCCAAAGATACCACACTTCATCTTTAACTCGGTAACACAGAGAAGATTACAGCTGAGGTGGTCCTTTATTTGGAGACTTCAGAAATGCCACCCACCAGTTTAATGGATGGGAGACTTTGATTGGATCCACAAGGTGACAGACAGCTTTAGAATGAAACGTGGATTGTAGGCGGGGTACTCCGCTGCCTGTTGGCCAGCCAGAGAGAGAGGAGCTGATTGGCTCCTTGCTCCTCACAATAATTAATTTAAACCCTTGCCTGGGGTTTCTTGTACCTCTTGCCCCATTTTAGTTGAACCCACCCTGTCTCCTCATAGTTATATAATATAGGAACTGTGTTTTTAGGATGCTATAGGTCTGATCAACCACCTGTTTTACGGGTCAAGAAGGAATTTTTCCTATTGGGGCCAAATTGGCTAAGGCCTGGCAGGTTTTTTTTTACCTTCTGCACAGTGTCACAGAGACACAGTTAGGTTAAACAGGTATAGGCTTCAGAAATTAAATATTAGGAATTGTGTGAATGTTTATTTCATCATAACTTGCATTCAGTGTCCAGTGCAGATAAAAGGCCAAAGGGCCAGAAATAAGAGACCCGGGATTTCACTGGTGGACCTCGGGCCTGTGGTAAAAAGGGAGACCTGAAGCCTTTGCAGACCAAAGTCCCTCTTTGGTACAGTAACTCCCCACTTAACATCATCCCAGTTAATGTTGTTTCGTTGTTACATTGCTGATCAATTAGAGAACATGCTCATTTAAAGTTACGCAATGCTCCCTTATAACGTTGTTTGGTAGCCGCCTGCTTTGTCCACTGCTTGCAGGAAGAGCAGCCTGTTGGAGCTAGCTGGTGGGGGGCTTGGAACCAGGGTGGGCTGGCAACCCCTCATCAGGTCCCCTAAGCTCCCTGTGTGGCAGCCGCCCAGTAGGCTATCAATTGCCGTCAGTTCAGCTGTCCCTCCCCGCACTGCCAAGTTCTGCTCCTGCCCTCTGCCTTGGAGCTGCTCCCAGGAGCCTCCTGCTTGCTGTGCAGGGGGTGGAGGGGAAGAAGGCTGCTGATGTCAGGGTGTCCCCCTACCCCCACTCCTGCCCCCCACTCCTGTACCCCATCTCCACAGGATGTTAAGTTTCATAAAGCTACAGCCTGCTGCTTAAAATCCATCAACAGGTAAAATTACTGACAAGACTTTTTAATGATTTATAAGCATGAGCAGGAAGTCCCCTGAACACCCTGGTTTTAAAAAGGTAAGAACACGCTGACGTTATGGTTATGTTGTTCCCCAAAACAGTCCTACTCAAAATAAAAAATAAAGGTCATGTTAATGAATAATTTAGGATGACCCACGCACACTGAATTATAATATTAAAATATGAAGAAAATTGCTGAATGGTAGAAAATAAGGATTATGTTTTGCTAGTGTAATGTTGATGAAATGTTAATGATTTACAATAATATAGAATACAAAATGTAAAACAAATTATTAAAGTTTTGGTAAATGTATAACTGGGTATGTATAACTTGGACTCTGGCCAAGACCATAAAGAACCTGCCATTTTATTATTCTTACCAGGCAGAAAAAGATGCTGCCAGCAGACCCACAGAAAAATCCTGTATAAAAACATTATACAATTATAAAAAGAAATGGGACTGGGAATTTCCTTTTACAGGACTCAGCCTTCAGAGTATAAAAAACTATTAAGGGCAGGTCTGTGGAATGCACTTTAGTCTAATGCATATACCAGAGTGATGTAGAAACAAGAGATTATTATTAAGCAGCAAAAAGCTGAGTTTTAAAAATTCAATTTGAAATGTGAAAACACCTCATATATACACCTTATTGCTTCTTGCATAGGAAAGTGAATACCTGGGCCCTTACAGTCTTGTTAAAGACCTGCTGCCTTGTTGTTCTTTATCTGCATGGTGGCATTGTGCACCTCATACAAATTGGGAGGGTCTCCGAGCTCGTCCCTAAATGGTCATTGAGGGATTTGCTCAAGGACTTTATCTACAACCATAGAATTACGGTTGGCATGGGCTTCTCTCTTTTTATTACAATTTATGTCATTCTGCCAAGCACAAAATGCCATTCTCTTCTCATTGATGAGTTGCTCAATTTCAGCATCATTCTCGTCAAACCAGTCCTGATGTTTTCTGGTGTGGTAGACTATAGTTTCCTCACAGGCATTGAGATTACTGCTTTCAACTGGCTCCAATGTTCCTCAATTTCTTCTGGAAACTCTGATGGGAGCTTTTCTTCTAAGACTGCTTGGAAGTGGTCATGCTTAATAGGGTCCTTCAAATCTTGAACCTTCAGTTTGCGTCTGACCTGCTTCTTTTGCAGCCTCCATTTGGGAGCTATCTTAACTTTCATTGTGGATCGAATAAGGCGATGACCAGTCCAACAGTCATCAGCACTTGTCATTGCTCTTGTGAGAAGTACGTCACTACGATCTCGGGTATGAACTATGACATAGTTGAGGAGATGCCCGCTGAAATCTTCAAAAATGGTGGACCAGAGCTAATATGGAAGCTTTACCTGCTTATCCTTAAAATCTGGGTAAAGGAGGAGATACCCAGTGAAATGAGGGATGCCTTGATTGTCACCCTCTTCAAGAGAGGGGATAAAGTGGATTGTGGAAATTATCGTGGTATCTCCCTCCTAGCCACTGCAGGCAAAGTTCTGGCATGGATCCTTGCAACCCACCTTCTGCCCCATCAGAAGAAATTTTATCATAGTCACAGAGTGGTTTCCAACCATGTTGTGGAACTGCAAATATGATCTTCACAGCACAGCAGCTGCAAGAAAAGTGTCAGGAGCAAAACCAACCACTGTACATGGCTTTTATTGATTTAACTAAAGCCTTTGACTCAGTGAATCGCCGTGCCCTCTGGACTGTACTTTCCAAGATTGGATGTCCTGATAAATACATCAATGTCCTAAAATCGCTTCATGATAACATGAAAGTGACTGTTCTGAGCAGCACTGGCTCCCAGAGTGAACCTTTCAAAGTACAAACAGGGCTGTATCATCGCTCCAACCATGTTTGTGGTTTTTATTGTTGTCATTCTTTACCTAATTCCTGGAAAGTTTACAGCTGGCATTGAAATCACTTACAGAATGGATGGAAAGCTTTTCAGGCTTAGCAGGCTGAAAGCCAAGAGTAAGATTTCCACAACATCTATTGTGGAACTTCAGTATGCTGATGACAACGCAATCTTTGCCCACTCTGAGAAAGATATTCAAACTATCTTGAATGTGTTTGCCAATGTTTACGCATGTCTTGGTCTCACTCTTAATATCAAGAAGACTAAAGTGCTCTATCAGCCCTCTCCAAATGAGATATTACATGCCCCATCTATCAAAATCAATGGAGTGGCACTGGAGAATGTCGATTATTTCCTCTACCTTGGAAGTCATCTTTCATCCAAGGCAGATGATGCAGAAATTCAACATCGCCTGAGCTGTGCCAGTGTAGCTTTTTCTCATTTACAGTGCAGGGTCTTTGAAGATCACGACATTTGAACAGCTTTTTTATCAAGCCGTTATTCTCCTAACACTGTTGTATGGGTCCAAAACTTGGACAACCTATAGACACCACTTGAAAGTCTTTGAGAGGCACCATCAACGCTGCCTTCGTAAGATTCTAAAGATCAAATGGGAAGACAGGCGCACCAATATTAGTGTTCTGGAAGAGGCAAAGACCACCAGTATCGAGGCAATGATCATCCATCAGCAGTTCCACTGGACTGGTCACATTGTCCGGATGCCAGACCATTGCCTCCCAAAACAGGTCCTGTTCTCTCAGCTGAAAGAAGGGCACCGTAACGTGGGTGGACAATGGAAGCATTATAAGGACTTGCTGAAGGACAACCTAAAAAAATGTAATATTGACATTGATACCTGGGAAACACTTGCCCAGGATCGCTTAAAATGGAGTGAAGTCCTACCTGATGGGCCCCTGCATTTTGAACTTGCTCGCTGACAAGCCGAAGAGGACAAGAGGCACAGGAGGAAGGAGAGACTGGTCTCCAGTCATGGTCAACAGCCTCCTGCTGAGCCTGAAAACATCTGCCCTCATTGTAATAGAACTTGTGGTTCAAGGATTGGCCTTATTAGTCACCTGAGGACCCATAACTCCAATGGAAGATGATCATACTCGGTAACGAGTGATCGCCCATCATCATCACAGTCTTGGTAAAGACCAAACAATAATGAGTGCCCAAAGGAAACTCAAATAGATCCTGAACTTGGTTGTCATGCCAAGATGATGTTATTTCCACATTCATTGTAAAGGACCCATGGCAGACACTGAGATGCCAATCCAGTGGAGAAGCTCTGTGTGAGAGTTGGAGGAATTGGTGAGTATAGAACCCAAATAGCAAAAGCTGCAGACTTCTTTGACAGTTTCATTATTCAAAGAGATTGGAGTCATGGGTGGACCTGATCCTACATTTTTCAGCTTTGTCTTTGACCACAAAACATGGAGGCCAACTTTAGAAGACATATATGCACATATGAAAGGGAAAATATATGTCCTAGAATGGAAAACTATTGCTCCATGTATTTAAAAAAAGTTTTCAGCTTGGCTATAATCACCAGAGCTACAGACTGACTCTTATACTTTGTATTTGAGATTTTCAAAGCAGACTAGGGGATTTGGACACATATAGGCCATTAATACCAATGGAAGATAAGTATCTAAATCCCCCCAGACAGTTTTATCTTTTAAAAAATATTCTAGGTTTTCTCTTATCTCTTCACTCTCCCTTCATGGGGTTTTGGAACATCTGGCCTGTCTTAAAGGCCTTACCTTCTCTGTCACAGTACAGGTTTAGACAATTGCACAGCTGGAGAAAGGAAAAGAGTGAATCAGATCTCGAAAAATAATGCATGTGTCTGATTTAGACTATAAACTTTCATATGCATTTGTACAATTGAGACCCTGATGCTCTCTTGAGGACCTTTGGGCATCATTATAATACAAATGGCAATAATAGTGACAGCAGCATTTGTTTTTAGCACAGCTGACTTTCTTCTTTTTTGTTTCTTTTATTTTACTTTAGACTAGCTCTGACCAAAAAATCTCAAGCTAAGATCATTTGCCACTCCATCCCTCCTTGTGCCTAATTACAATTTCTTGTAGGAAATCACACAAAAAATGGTAAGATAGCGTGAATTCAGAATTTCCTTGCCTTGTTTTTACTCTTAACCATAATGTTATTTTAATGTTTTGTGTCTTTATTGATTTTTTAAGGGGAAAAATGGATGCCAGGGTTTCTTGTCTTTGTGTCACTTCATTATATCTTGCTACATTCTATTCACTTTCTCATAACCAGACTGCAATCAACCAGTGCTTTGACATTGCAAAGTGGTCTCATTCAGTTGTCACCGGTGAGATTTTTTACTCATTTTCCATGACACTATCTGCATAGATTTGTAGTGTCACTGCTTTTATTCTTTTGGATATTGTGTTTTCAGTATAATTTTTCATATTTAACTAGACTAATGTCTAACGAATCAATTTTAAATGCTGTGTGCTGGGATTTCTTAGGAAATATGATTATTGACAATAAATATAACAAACATGACATTCTGCAGTGCAAATTTGACTCCTTTTTCCAGATAGTTTTCTGAAATGTGTGGCTTTTCTCCCCCCCCTCAGAGTTGCACTTATAGCTATAATACCTTTGTTCTTATCCATGTGGGCTTCTTAGACTATAAAAAGTTCAGAGTAGTAGTCCATACCTTCCAGCTTCCTGCAGCCAAGTTCTGCAGTGCACCTGCTGCTCCTTCCAGTGTGTCTGGATTTGAGCACTCAGAGAGAAGTGTGAGGTAGGGTTTGACTATTGAAGGGTGCCACAGCATCTGGATTCCTTTTGGTGGTTCTGCACAGTCTGGGAGAGGTCTTACTCCATCCCACTGTTGGAAAGGAGAAACCAAATGTCACAAAGTATGCCAATATCAAAGAGAATAATATTCAAACATTTTGTTATATAGGCCCATGGCCCAAAACCGCCACCTTCACCTTTAACATACTGTTTGAGATCCTTGATGGAGGCAAATTCCCCTCCCAGTACTCTTTATAAAATAGCTTTTTGATTGTATTTGACCTCACCATTAGTGAAAAATCTAAGAGTGTTCTACCTAACTAGCATAATGAGAGCAATTAGCTTTCAATGCATAATTTAATTTTTTCAGGGGAGTGAATACCTATTGGGACACACATGTATCAACAGATCTTAATAGATGCTTTAACAACTTGCATAAAAAAGAGATTTTCTTTTTATATTTGACTTGATCCTTTGTGCTCTTTCTTTCCAGTGGGAATCACACTCAAAAAATAAATTACATGGGGGCATGTGCTCATCACCATTTATAGGCCAGGAGGGTAAAGTGGCTAAGAAGTAGCTTTCCACTACCACACAGCTACTTCTAGACTCTTTGTGGCACTTAAGCTGCTACTCAGCTCTGAGGGCAGCTACTCGGAAGGGCTTCAAACAGCCCCCAATTTCTTTTATAAATCTACCCATCCCAAAAACTTTCTTCACCAGTGTAGAATTCTGCCTCCAAAATTACTCCATCCTGATGCCTAATGTGGGCAGTATACAGTATCTAGTCTAAGAACAGATCTCACAAGCCATCAGGAGTAGAAATGGGAGCTTTAGTCCAATGGAAAGAGGAGATCTCCTCTTTCCAATCCAATTTATAGCATTCACACCTATAAGGTCCTAAAATATGGGACTTAAAAGTCAAAATACTTTTATGCACAGAAATGCTATTTTAGGTCATTTAAAAAGTATTTTTAAATGCAATACTTTGATGTTTCTCTCAATGTGCATTTTACAGGCAGAGGAATACAAAAAAGAGAATCTCAATAACATTTTCTAAAACAAACAGGAGTACTTGTGGCACCTTAGAGACTAACAAATTTATTAGAGCATAAGCTTTTGTGGGCTACAGCATCCGAAGAAGTGGGCTGTAGCCCACGAAAGCTTATGCTCAAATAAATTTGTTAGTCTCTAAGGTGCCACAAGTACTCCTGTTCTTTTTGCGGATACAGACTAACACGGCTGCTACTCTGAAACATTTTCTAAAACATTTCTAATACATTTTTTTCTGTAAAATATGTGGCATATACAGAATGCATGACGTGAGTGATGATTTGGTTAAGCTGAAACAAAGACAAACAAGCCAGCAGCAGGCAGAAACAACCCCTCCTTCATCCCCACTGCCTCTGGAGGATACAGCCAAACAGTCAGTCTGCCCTGATCCCACTCATCCAATGGCAGCAGAAGCAGTTGGAACAGGATCTGACTTCACAACCTGATCAACCCATTCCCTCCCCTGGGGGGAAGAAGGAGAGGAAAGCAGCAGCAGCTCTAGATCCCTCAAACCCATGGGGGCATGGCATGCATGGCCCTATCACTCAGTGGCCCAGCAATTACACATCCTGGTTAGTGGGTGAGCATTGGTCCAGATCCTCAGCTGATGTAAATTGATATGGATCTATTGACTTCAATGGAGCTCTGCCAGTTTACACCTGCTGACCATTATGTTTTGCAAATGAAAAAAGAACAAACACAAATGCAAAGTTAGCTGGTCTTTCAATAATGCACATAAAGAGTTATGTGAGAGCAGCTGCTAGGATATATAACTCAGAGCACTGGACAAAAAAGACAACATATAATCAATGGAAAAGCAGTCTCTACTGGAGGCACTATCAAATGCCCAGAAACAGTAGCAAAATCACCTTAAAAGGGTTGAAGCTAAACCCTGCTGAATGTAGCCTCTATGAAAGGGAGCATGATGTGCTTGTGAAATCGGCTTGTTAAAATTCTGCTTTCAAACTGAAGAAAAGGTTGGTTGACTTCCCTGCTGGTGAGAGAATTCAATCCCCCTCTTTGGACACAATAATCAGCCCTTCCAGGAATTGCTTCGTGAAGGCTCATGAAAATCTACTTTTCCCCCCTTAGAGAATGCAATAAACTGCCTGAAGTCTCAGGTATTGGGGGGGGGAGGGCGGGGAGGTAGGAAATTCCTCTTATGAGGGGCCCAATTCTGTCCTCACACCAGTTTTTACACTGGTGTAAGTACATTCGCTTTAATGGAGTTACTCCTGATTTACTTTGGTACAAATATAATCCAAATTCAGGTCAAGGTCTTCACCTCTTCCCTCCCAATCCTATTTCAAATTACATACCTTGAACACTGTGCTATCCAATTTATATACCAGGTTTTTATTATATTTCTCAGGAACAAAGTATAATGCAGCAAATATGTTAGCTCTGGTGTACACACAGTTTTTGTACTGGTAAAACTGTTGGTCATGGATGTCATTTTTTACTGAAATAGTTATATCTGTGCAATTCCTAGTGTGGACCCATTTATATCACCATAGAGATTCTTATATCAGTATAACTTATTCCCCCATAGTTATAAACAGGTATATGCATGTTTATATGGTATAACTGTGTCCACACTAGGAAGGTTATACCTCTTTAACTGTGTTGGTATAGTTTTCTGTGGACAAATCCTTCCTTAATACTGGCTTGCCAAATAGCTATTCCTCCTTGTTTGGTGATGGTTATGAGAACACATTCTTTTTTTTTTAAAGGAAAACCAAATGAATAGATTTCCTGATTCTTCACCCCTGCTCTCTGATAGCACATGGAGCATACTTTATCAGTCACTAAGAGGGGAAATGAGTGTGGGAGACCTTTATTACAATATCATGAGAACTCCACTGAAGGAGACGTGGATAAATGAAGAGTTTTACATTCCTAATTTACCACTGATGAGCATATGAGTTAAAATTCTTTAGGAACGTTTTTTGAGCTCACCAGCAACATACTACTAAAACCACAGCAGGCCAGATTCTTATGATTTGTCGACATGGTCAGATAATGTGCTGTACATAGGGTATGATTTCTAAAATACACTGTTGTGGATGCACATTAATGGATCCGTGTAGTCCCTGCTGACGTGTTTCACATAGTGCCGTTTGAAACAGTACTACATTAAAGTGCAGTAGGGAACATTTACTGCTCACCAGCAGGATCTACATGGACTAATTAATGTGCAACACATTAATGGCTTTAGGAATCAGACCTTTATAGAGCATATTACCCCACCGTGTAGACAAGTGCTTAGTTGCATTCTTGCCCCTTTGGGCCATTTGAGCAACACCAAGGGGTCAGAAAGTTGGGCATGCCCAGCTGAGAATTCCTTGGGCACAGATGTGTTGAGGTCAGCATCTGCACTGTCCTTTCGCCCCCCGCCCCCATTTTCCCTCACACATATTCTTGGCTCCGGTCCAGGGGGAATGTCAGGGAGGTGAGGGATTCTGGAGCTAGTGGTCATAGCTCAGATCTGCCCTGAGAAATAGGGAGCTCTAACTGGCTTCCTCACAGTCTCCCCCTTGTCCTCTTTCACCATCAAATATGGGTTCTTTTGAGTGGAAGCTCAGGGCAGCAGAGAATTTGGGACAACCTGTACATTAGTAACAACATTCTTGTCTAAGGTTCGTGTGTCAATAAAACATATGTGTGTGTTTGTGTATACTGAATTTAAACATAAGAAACCAAAACAGTATCACATGTGAAGGATCTTGTCTCAGTGCAATGGGATAGGATCATCTTCTAAAGTGAGGTGTAATGTAGGTGGGCAATGCTTCCTGTAGCATCCACGGCCATCCCCCATATAAAATACGAGAATTAAATCATGTGTCCAGGGTAAGGAGGTTGCATTAACTTTCCTTGAAGGTTTTCTCTTTGCTTTCTCATTTCCTAAAGGCACTATTGTAAAATGTGATACATGATTAATTCAGAAGACAATTTTTCTCTGAAAAGTGATCACCATGCAGTTCGAAAATGCCTTTTATTACATCCTCCTCTTAATGGCTACTGAGAGAACAGGGAGGAAATGAAGAGAGCAACTGATGGAAGTAAGGATCTTCTTTGATGACAACTAGAGATGTAGTTCAAAGTGTTCTATGTTATTTGAGGGTCTTCGTAGCATTGTGGTATCTTAATATTGAAGAAAATGAGCTATTTCAAAGCTAAATCTGACTGACCTTTATCTACATCATTTATTCAAACTTTTGTTAAGTCAATTAAAAAACCCTCAATAGTCCCAAAGAAAAATGTATTTTCACAAGCAATAATATTACAGCACCTTTTCTCTAACAGCTGCTCTAGCAAGGCTGACTGTGGCAAGGCTGAAATTGCTTTGTAGTTAGCAGTGTTCAATATTAATGAATGAAGGCTGTGAGCTAAAAGACTCTATACAAAGAATTTTAGAACAGTTACTCTATAGCTGTAATCCATCAGACGTGATCAATAAATTCTAGTTTAGATAGTTTTTAGATGTAGAGAGAACCCCTGAAAAAGATGAAGGCTGTACACAGTCCCACAATCACTTAGCTTATGTTAAGGAGAAGAAAGCCATAAACAAAAGCTCCTTCCAGCCCTCCTTGCTTCAGTTGTCATTTCCACAGATATTGTGGGTGAAATTGACAGAAACTGGTAGATACAAATCTCTCATTTCCTAAAACCAACCCAGAGATAAAGGGTTCAAAATAGGAGGAAAGACAGAAAAAAATCAAAAGCTGAATATGACTTTCTTTCAAAATAATGGTTTCTGAGACTAGAGTATATTGCTAAGTAGTTTAAAATGTTTTCATATTACCTGAAGAATTTCTTTAAGGTCCTAAAACTAGGACCGGAAATCTCAGAAAAACAACCCTCCCAAAAATTCACCATTTTAACAAAAGAGATCAAGATGAGCTCATAGAGTTTCAAGACAATGGTGAGTAAATCAGAACTTAAAAACAGATATTTAGGAGCTCACAAAACCATATGACTTAGCAAATGACACATGAAGTGATTTGTGATTGTGAGGTTTGAGTTTTAAATATTTTA